AAAAGTGAATTTCTTGTAAGCTCTAATTCCAAACAGGATGTTAAAGGTATCAGAGAAACGGTTAAGGAGAGCCCAATTTGATGGTTCTGCACTACAAAGGACTTTCCCAGGAAAGGTAAACGAGAGCATGCTCACAGCTGATAAAGGCAGGCAGAAGAGACAGGAGGCAGGGGAAGCCATCCGGGTGTGGACTCACATCCGAGGACCTGGGCTAAGGCGTCAGATGAGAGACACCGTGGCATCACTTTTCTAGGTCTGGGTGACCTTCCTCAATATCATCTTTTCTAATTCCATCTATTTATCTGAAAATTTTCATTGTTCAGTTTTCTTTACGGCTTAATAGAGTTGTGGAGTCCAGTTCCAAATGATACTCCCTACAGTCCAACTCCTGCACCCAAGGCCCAGGGATTGCTGAGGAAGAAGGGGCAGAAACACTGTTAAGAGCCAGGATCAAGAAGTTTTCTGGGAGGGTGTGTCTCCTAGAAGTACATCCATGAAGTCTCACCTCATGACTGCCTAAACATGAGAAACAGACATGCCAGAGTGGGCGAGGGAAACACCCGAGGCCTCAGCCCTACACAAAGAACCACAGGCAACTAGGAATGCCAAGAGCGGGAGGGGGAGTCTTCCCCAGTGAAGAGCACACCCATTAGTTATCTAACATCAAATGGCAGCCAAGGAAATATACATACAAGGAACATTAGATAGACTAAAAAGGTTGTATTTAGGAATATATGTATACACATACACATATATGCGCATGACAACAATGAGAAAAGAGGCAATGAATTTGAAAGAGAGCAAGGAGAAATATATGGAAGGTTTTGGAGGGAGAAAACGGAAGGGATAAATAATGTCATTATGATATAATTCAAAATAAAGAAATAATAATAATAAAAGAATCACAGAAATAATAATAATAAAAGGAATGCTGAGGAGGGAGAAATAGTCCTCTCTAGGGAAGAGCACATCAAATGGTTATCTAACACCAAATGGCCAGTCCTGAGAACAGAGTAGCATTATACTGACTCAGTAGTTCGTATTTACATATTTAGGAATACACACACACACACACACACACACACACACACACACACACACACATAACAACTACAAAGGTCATGAATCTGTAAGAGAGCCAGGAAGGCATATAGGAGGGTCTGAGGGAGAAAAAGAAACTGGGACATAATATAATTATATCATAATCTCAAAAATAAAAGAAGGTTTTAAAAAGACGGCCATAAGGTCATCCTAGTGGGAGAAGGTTTTCAAACTCTGGCCCCCAGGGAGGATGTTCTCATCGGGCCTTCCCTGGAGCAATGGAAAGGGCACATCCCGAGCGCCGAGCTCATAAAGTCGTGAGGCTGGAAGAGATGTTTATCCATCTGCACTTTAATAGGGGCATGGTAAAATTACACACACTCCTGATTTGTAATACTAACCACTTACTCACTGCCATCTCAGGCCCTGGTTACCTCAGCTGTTAAGTGAGGGAGGTGAACCAAATGATTTCTAAGTCCAGGTCTAAATTTTAAAATAAGATTGTGTCTGTGAAAAAAAATGACTGTCTGCCTGTGTTCATAAGTCCACTCCATTCCAATCCTCCCCTGCAACTGTGTATATCCTAACACTCGCCATACCCTTGTTTATCCTAACACACCCACGTGCCCTGTACACTAGTCAGCTCTTACAGCTATACCATCATTGTGAGATGTACAACTATAAATTGGAAGCAGAAATAACTCATGGCATTGCTTACTAGTTCTGTGATAATAGGATCATGCCACCTATGGAGAGAAGAAAAGTTAAGCACAAACAAATGGCACAACTTCCCTGGGAAGCTCTGTCCTCCCGGAGAGGGAAGGAGACCGGGAGAAGCTGCTTCGTGACCTCTTCTGCCCACACTGCTGGAGCAGCTGAGGCGAGAAGTGAATGTGCACTGCGGTGCTCTGTGTGTTCTCCGAGCAAAGCACAGCCGGCCAGGAGGTCTGTATTCTGTACCCAACACTTCCAGGACCTGGGTTACCTCTGGGCAAGATTCTTCTCCTGCTTCTGCTGTTTGGGACAGAGCAACATTGCTTCAAGTCTCATCTCCCTCAAGAACGCGCTAAGTACAGGGATAAAATGTGTGAAAATTTGAGTGCTCGTGAGCACCATGGTGAGACGGGACAAGGCACAGCTGCTCACAATCACTCACAATTAGACCCACAGTAGAGGAGGGAGGGTCACCAGCAGGTAAGCACTAACGGGATGACTGACAGACAGCGAGACTTTGGCGCACTCAGCCACCACGTTTCCAGTGAAGAGAGCCCAGACAGACAGGCATGAAGGCACAGCCTGGCTCACACTCCTAGGCTGGGAACAAATGTGTTTCTTGTCTTCCTCCTTTATTTCTTCCTCCACCTTCTCCCTTCCTCTGTCTCTGCTGTCCACACACATAAAGTTTTTACACTGACAGCTTGCATATTCCAAATCTAAGATATATACACAACCTTCCGGTTGGTCAGCTACTTGAAGAAAGATGGACCAAGTTCCATAACCAGTAAGTGTGACTAAAGGAGACTCCGGGCTTCTGCTCCCAACCAGGCTAGATTTCCACAGAAACGGCTGCACAGTCATAATCTCAACTGACAGGAGACCACTTTCTTCATTCCTTTCTTTTCCTGCCGATGAGATAAAAATGTCTTCACAAAGGGAACACTGGAAAGGAAGGCTTTATTCTGGTTCGGCATTCAATCGTACCGGGGAAGGAAAGGTGACAGGCACTTAATACATCTGGTTACATTACGTGTGGAGCCAGGAACAGAGGGATGGATACCATATTGGCTTGCTTTCCCATTGTACATAGTCCGTGCAGAGGGAATGGGCTGGCCCAGGGATAAGATGAGTCTTCCCACATCAAGGGACTTGGCCCAGACGTGCCCACCCCCAGGTGAGTCCAGATCCTTTCAAGTTGACCATACTGATCATTAGGCCCAGGATCAGGTCTGGTGAGCCTACCCTCCCACTCCTTCCAGAAACCCCGCTGCTTCTCCTGTGGGTAGGCATGGAGGGAAGGCCACACGTGCTGTGCCAATCATAATAAGAGCTTTCAGGCCCTCCATCATCCAGCCTTACTGCTCATGTGAGGAAGCGACTCCTCTGAGGCAGACAAGAATAGTCAGGACAGCATGACAAGAGGATTATGAGGCCCGTGGAGACAAGTCACGTGAGAACTGCCTGGCAGGCCAACTGAAGAATATTCTTTAGAAGTAAAAGTTCAGTTCTGTATGCAGTGATAGTGAAAAAAAAATTTCAAATGATCAAACTTCCCCATCCAAGCCTTCTTATCGCAGCTCACAGAGTATAATAACTTCATAGTTACCTCAGCCTCCTGAGAACACAAGCCGGATGTTTTCTCATTGCTAGACTTAGAAGATGGATCATACATACCCACAACAACAGTACAACTATAGCTTCTATTCCAAGCATGGGGCTAAACATTTTACAAAGAAAGCCCTGGCAGCAAGGCAAATATTATTCTTCTCTCTCTCTCTCTCTCTCTCTCTCTCTCTCTCTCTCTCTCTCTCTTTCTTTCTTTCTTTTTTTCCTCTCTTTTTTTTTTTGAGACAGGGTTTCTCTGTAGCCTTGGAGCCTGTTCTGGAACTTGCTCTGTAGACCAGGCTGGCCTCGAACTCACAGAGATGAGCCTGTCTCTGCCTCTGAGAGATGGGATTAAAGGCGTGAGTCACCACTGCCTAGCTAAGTATCATTATTCTTAACCATCTAGGCCAGTAGTTCTCAACCCTCCTAATGTGGTGACCCTTTAATACAGTTTTTCATGTAGTGGTGACACCCAACCGTGAAATTATTTCATTGCTACTTCATAACTGCAATTTGCTACTGTTGGGAATTGTAGTGTAAATATCTGCTATTTGGCTCCAACAGGTCATGACCTACAGGTTGCCGGTCAGGGGGCAGACAGCAGAACTGGAAAGAAACATCCAATGACAGTTAAGGCTAGCGACAAGATCCAAACATGGGTCTGTCTGCTTCTGGAGCCCAGGTTTACTGGATTGTGCTGGGCAGCCTCCACGTTTAGCTTTTGATTTCACCTGAATCCCCTCTTACTTCAAGGCATTCTACTCAAGGGAGAAGGAAGGCAACGGCATGAAAACCAGCACGGAGGACGGGACAAAGGCATGCACGAGAGAAGAGGAGAATCACACCAGTCCCCGAACTGTGGTGCTGACTGTGGTAAAAACATGCCACAGCTGTGGCATCTAATAACACCACTGGTTACTATGAACACCAGTTACTATGAAGTTATTATACTCTATGAGCTGCGACAGGAAGACTAGGATGGGGAAGTTCGACTGGGAGCTTCTAAGGCACTCGGGTGCAGTGTGACTGGCCATTCAGATCCAGACTGCGGGAAGGCAAGTTGAGATGTCTGGACCCTCAATGAAGGACCACATGGGGTCAACCTGGGTCACTTTCCCCACCTTGACCCACAGGTGCCTTGGTCCTGATGCCTGCCTGCTCACCTCTCTGATCTCAGTCTTTCCCTTGGACTCTCGCCCCATACTCCGGTGATCACAGTCCAAGGAACAGCAGAAGGGACCTGACTCATCTGGATCACATTAGTTCCTTGTATCATGCTATTTACATTCATGAAATGCAGTATCTTGAGATCACATTTGGTAAAACTTTTCCTTAAAACACTTTTATTCTCTAATCCTCTTTTTATTGGTTAGAAGCAAAACAAAATGGATGATATATTTAAGGGCAGAGACAAGGTGGGGTGGGGGGGAGACATACCATTCTAGAAATGTTTAGCAAGCAAAAACCCAGAGAATATTTATCCACGTGGTTACCCTAGGATATGTGAGGGGAAACGTGAAAGCAATTTTCTTGGCTATCATCACTTTAATATGAAATTTAAACCCAAATACAGCTGCAGGCACATTCCCATAATTGGGGAGAGCACTGTCCTTAGGGAGGGTGCGCAGGATGCTTACCTGGCATGACCATGGCCTGTGGGGCCGCAGCATCGGCGCTCAGGCAGAGGCGCCCGCCTTTAGCTAATCGATCACACAGCAAGGTGATGTGTTTCTTCAGCCGGCTGGTGTCTTTGGGTATGCTCAGTTGGCTGTTGAGGTTCAAAGCCTGCTCCTTGGAACTCTTCGACAGGCAGGTTTTCAACAGGTGGGCTATGGCAGCATCCACTGTTTCTTCCCAGCCCTGCATACAAAAGTCAATTTGGAATTTGTATACAAATGACAGTGAGCCAAGTGGCCTTTTTACTGTTAACGAGGTTTTCAGGTGATGAGCTACTAATTCTTCTTGACAGCCTCCTCCAAGGATCCAGGTGACTAAAGGTGTTGGTATGTGACAAGTGCTTTTGTCCTGTGCCAGGCATAGAATAACCAATGATATCTACAGTCAGAGCATGTCTGTTGAATGATCAGGTGGCTCAGACTGCCAGGAATGTCATGTCTTTTGCCTTACATTCTGCTGAAGAGGATCTGGCACGTACAGACCTCTAGATACCATAGGGGCAACTGGGATGGAGGGAAGAGGCTGGCAAAGTTCAGCTTGACCAGAGCCTCGAGGCTGTGACAACAGCTAACAGCACTATTTTCAAGAATGATTTTGGAAGCTATAAGGCCTATCTAGTCCCATTTCACTATCATTTGACAAAAAATGACATAAATAAATAGCTATTTGCCCCACTTTTCTTAGGAGCAGTCGTTCTTGGCTAGTAAAGACCTGAGGGAGTGTGGGGTCGCCTTAAAATGCGGAGGCTGCAATTCTCGGAACATCAGAGCTGCCCTGGGGCGCCAGCACCTCCACAGAAGACAGTAGCACACTGAACGGGCACCAAAGGGACCACCCGCAGGCAGGCTCAAGCAGTGAGTGGACAAGGCCGGGAGAGCCCGAAGAGGCTCTCATGAGGCATCTCAAGGATAACTGGGTAAGATCTTCATGGTAGAGGGCCTAGAGGCATGGAAATTAGGACATTTGTGCTTCCTGTTTCCTAGGAATTCTACCCAAAAGCCTGGCCTCTGGTCCTCCCTGCTCTATGGGGCGCACACCCCACACCCTCGGTGTACAATGAGTGCACAGCTCAGGCTCCTTCCGCGCTGGCACACAGAGTGAGACTCTCTGTGTACCCACGAGAGCTTCCCAGCGCTCACCATGAGCAGTAAGCCCAAACTTCTGATGCCACGGGCCCATTCCTATCTACCTATAGTAGATGCCACTGGGCAAATCAGGGAAGAAAGAAACACCTCTGGGAATCCTTTAAGGGGACGTTAGAGACTTTGAAAAGTGCCTCCAACTCCATTATAACAAAATAAACCAATAGATAGTACAAAAACATCTTTTTCGACTGCTCACAAAGCAAAATCTACACCAGACTAACATCTACAGTTTCCACCAGTAACCCTCTCAGGTGAGGACAGATTTCTAAGTTCTTTTAGAGCCTTTGACCAACTCCTCTGGAGGACAAGAGTGAGTCCTGGAGTATCATTTAGCATCAGTACACACTGTGGTCACTTCACCATGAAGGCAGCTTCTGTGTCCTCTGGACTGGCCATCTCAGCAAGCCGCCATGTTTATAAGCAGACGACAGGAGTGTATTAGGACACAAACAGATGCGGTATTTAGTCAGCACTACCGCACAATTTCTTTCCCTGCTGCCAACTCGCAGAGAGAGTAAAAAACCATGTCATGTATTTTCCAAACATAGCCCAAGAGTGGAGTGTCTGGAGGGCAGTTCTGAGCACTTGTGAGAAAATGTCAAGAAACTAAGACAGGAGTCTTGTGACCTCAGGATCTTCAAAAGCATGAACTTATTCTTGGAACATGCTTCCATGCCCCTCCCAGGCATAGCCTATAAGAGTGAGCTTGCTCTAGATGATTCATTACAACTGACCATTGTCATTCCACAGCTGGGGACAACTTGACTTGTCATTGTCACTTACTCATGGGACTCCTAACCCTCAGAGCAGTGGTTCTGAACCTGTGGGTCACAACCCCTTTGGGGGGCACATATCAGATAATCTGCATTTCAGATATTTACATTACGATTACAGTAGCAAAATTACAGCTATGAAGTAGCAACAAAGATGATTTAATGGTTGGGGGCACCACAGCATGAAGAACTGTATTAAAGGACTGCAGCATCAGGGAGGTTGAGAACCACTGCCTCAGAGTATAAACCGTATGGGGCTCTGAATGAAGTTGGCTATTGGAGGAGACTTTCAGTCCGCCTTATTTTAAGGCTTCGTTCTCCCAGGTTCTACTGCCAACTACAGCAAAAAACAGTGCATAGGTATTTAGTATAGATACGGCTTTAACATAATGAGACATAGTGACAACTCTTAGAAAGATTACTAATAAAATATTATTCAGAGGGCCTACGCTGCTGCATAAATCCAAACACAATAACAAAAGAGAAAGCTTACGAGACAAGAGCAGGTGACGGCAGAGCTTTTAGGTAAAACTCAATGTGGTAATACATGATTAAACAAATAGCATAATTACCTAATAAATAGAAAATGTAGAAACTCAAATGTGAGGAGCTGGAAGATAAGCTATTCTAAGTACCCTTGAGTTGTTGAGCCCACCGACCTCATGAACACACATGTACCCACCTGCATACACCAAGCTTTTATTTCGTATTCATACTAATAACTTGCCTTGTATCTCAACATGAGATGCAATATTAACATGGGAAATTATCACTAAAACTTCTACTAGAGGGGTGAGCATGCATCCTGTCGGGAGCTGAGCTTTGGCGCTGGTTCTCAAGTCCCTGCCTTTACTACCATCACAGCTGAGCAGGGGATTGCCTAAGCAAACAAAACCATGTGTGGAGCGGAAGGAAGGGGAAGGGATGGGTTTCAATGTGCATTTTATTTTACTTTGCCTTCTTCATATCCCTTTCCAGCACTGGGAATTAAATTGTTCAGAGTCAGGGTTGGGAGGTTTTTGTCTCCTCTAGTCTAGATAATTGGACTTTTCGTTTTTCTCAAGATCTCTTGCCACTGTGTGAACCTCATGCCTTAGCTCTCTCCCAGAGCCTCTGCCTTAAGCACCTCATGGAATGTTGCAAGAACAAGTTGGACTGCCATGCTTCTACTAGGAGCCCTTCGAGGACCTGGACCACGGCCTTGCTGTATGACCAAACTCAAGAAAAATGTCCCAAAATAGGTAAAACCACTGATTTAAGTATAAAGCAATACATGATCCCTTTGCTTCTGTTTTCCTCTGTCCTGTCTAGTTTGCCATTTGGGGGACCACACAGAAGCTTCAATATTTTAGGCTGTGGCTACAAGCTGCTTCCTTTGTCAAGGTCACCAGTGGGTAAGAGCCAGCTGCAGGAAGAGCCCTCACTAGACTCCTATTTTCATAATCCTCAAATAGAAGGCAAATCTGGAGAAGTATCTAGAATAGTACACCAAGTAACCCTTTTATAGTACAATTTAATGTGCCACTTTCTCCATAGCAATCAAATGAGAATAAGGCTAGTTACCATATGAAGTGGTATAGCCTTACATGGTTTTGTAACTAAATAAAACTGCAGGGGAAGTCTATACAGACATTTATTTTATTTTCATCTTTTTCTCTGTGTATGGTGTGCATGTTTATTTGTGTGTATGTGTCCAGGCGTTGGTACTTAATTGCCACAGCATGTGTGACAAGATCAGACGGCAACTCTGGCATCAGGCATCAGTCTTCTTCCACCTTCTATAAGGCAAGGTCTCCCGTGCTTTGCCCCTGAGTACACTCAGCGGCTGCTTCCGGGAGTTTCCAGAATTCTCTAGTGTCCACATTCCATCTCCCACTGGGGGACTTGGGTTACAGAGGCACACTACCAGGTTGGTCCTTTTCCATGAGTCCGGGGTTCAAATACCAGGCATCACACTTGCACTGCAGCCATAACCCAAACCAAATTCGTATTTATTTTTAAGAATAACATTTATGACTAAATGGTACATGACATTAAATACTGTCAAATTAAAAAAATGAAAGAAACTCTGATATGGCTCCTACCTGTAAGTACCCTGCATTACGAATAATAAAAAAAATCCTAAAACTATAGTGATGTAGAAAATAAAGTATATTTAGAGAGTGGTACATTTAAAGTGCTTTGAGGTGATTTTATCCTCCAACCCTCATTCTAGGAGCAAAATTTCTACCATTTCTATGAAAGGTACTTCTGGTCAAGGATGCTTGTTCTGTGGTGGAAAAATCAAGACCGTCTTTTTCTGTAACTTCCGCCCTCAAATCCAAACCATTCATGAACTCCTTCCTAGAAAAAGACTTTAAATGCTATTCTTAGCTCTGCATTCAGTTGCAGATCCTGTGACAGCCTCCTCCCCAACATTTTCACATTTTCACATCTAAGAAGCAGGGGGTTAGCCTACTTTCAGTGGGATCCAGCAACTGCTGGCTTTCTGTCTTGGGACACACTGCATGTGACTTTACCTTAGCTTGTCTTAATGCACCACTTCTGCCGAGCTTCATGCAGTGTTCATGCTGCCTCAGCTAATTCAATGGTATTTAAAATGTCCTCTATAGCCGGGCAGTGGTGGCGACCGCCTTTAATCCCAGCACTCGGGAGGCAGAGGTAGGTGGATCTCTGTGAGTTCGAGGCCAGCCTGGTATACAAGAGCTAGTTCCAGGACAGTCTCTAAAGCTACAGAGAAACCCTGTCTGGAAAATAAATCCAAAAACCAAAAACCAAAAAAAAAAAATGTCCTCTATAAGTCAGCAAGGTGATTTAGCTGAGAAGGATACTCAGTGCCAAGCTTAAGAACATGAGTTCTTCCCTGGAACCCACAGGCAGAGAGATTACGCACACACACAATATTTTTTATAAAACTGTTAAGACTCATATGGTATTTTATCACTTACCAAAAATATTCCTATATGTGCAGAAAAGCAAGGTAATAGTGTGAACCTAAATTTAGTGAAGCAAGATTTCATGAGTGACTAAAAAATAATTTTCTTTTTTTTTAATTTTTTTGCAAAGCACAGCTAAATGTTCCTAAGACATAAGGCAAAAAGATGCCCCCAAAGAAAGCCTGTCACTACGACACAGTTCATACATTCCTACCTTACACAAGCATGACAACTGAAGTCAGCAAAGCCACCCATCTCTGGAATGAATTGGTCTGGTTAGCTTATGTTCTGCATGGGACCGCTGTCAGAACAGCGAACACCAGTCTGTC